TATTGCAGCCGACCAGTAGGTCCGACCGGTTGGCGGTCTGCCGACCAGTCAGAAAACAACCATCCACTATTTTGTTTTCAGATCTGAGTTGGAAGCTGTACTGCGCTTGCAGAGTACAATCCGCTGAGAAATTTTTGGGGATGGGGGGGTTGGGAAAGGGGTGTATAGGAGGATATAGGGGGTATAGGGGGTACTGCGGGGGGGGAATGAGGGTGTTGGGGGGCGGTTTGTGGGTGTTGGGGGAGTGTATGGGGGTATTTGGGGATGGTATGGGGGTGTTCATGGGGTTATTAGGGGTTCTGGACCCCCGACCAGTAGGTGCCGACCGGTCGGCGGGTCGGCAGCCAAGCAGTCAAGGGTTGCTGACGGTCGGGGTGTGCAACACTGCAGACCATTAAAAAAAAAAAACAATCTGAAAAAAAAGTATGGTATGCAGAATAACAATGCAAACCACTTTTGCCTCAGAGTCATGTCAGAATTCCTAACCGAACTTGAGTTAAAAGTCAAAAACTATAAAAAAACTTAAAAAAAAAGTCTTCAAAAACTAATAAAAACTTAAAATTTGGGGTGTCTAATAAATTATTATAGAGAGAGAGCACGTCCGGACCCCCCAAAAAAGCATGAACGGGTCTGGAAAACAACCGAAACAATTTTGGGGGCTTGGCTCCTCAATGGGGAAAGGTCCTGGACCGTTTTTTTTTTTTTTTTTTTCCTCCCCGAAATTTGGCAGATCCGGACCTTCCAGACCGGACGTCTGGAGTCCGGACTGAATCCAGACCGTCTGGACGGTGGTCCGGACGTCCGGATCGTAGCCATGGTTTAGAGCCCAAGGGTGGCAAGAGTGGGTCGTTCTGGTCCAGCTGGAAATGTCAGTTGGGGTCAACCTCTTAACCTGGCTTCACTGTTTGCTTCTTTGAGGATCTGATGGGAGGGGATATAAGTTCTCTCTATCTTTTAATGAAACAAGTGGACCCGCCGCAGCGACACTGCGGCCGGAAGGGGGCGGGGAGGGGGGAGGAGACGGAGGAGATCGATGCAGAATGTTGTTTCTTTCACACGCACACACACACACACACGTACACATATGCAGACTCTCTCTCTCTTTCCCAGCGATGGAAGAACCCCCGCCCGGCTCTCTCCCTCTCTCTCTTTCTCTCTCTCTCTCTCTCTCTCTCTCTCACACACACACACACGCATAGATGTGAACGCTCATACACTCTCTCTCTCTCTCTCTCTCCCTCTCTCTCTCTGTCTCTCTCTGTACATGCAAGTGCGAGAACAGTATCATTGAAAGTCTAACATTGCAATGGTGATTGTATCTCGTGGCCCGTCGTTTTTTTGCCATTTTTTCCTATTTTTCGAGATATATACTATGATTTTCTCTTTACTTTTTTTGCATTTCTTTTTTTTGTACTGATTGGCACATGTACCACGATTGGATTTTATTATTATTATTATTATTATTATTATTTTTTTTTTTTTTTGTCTACCCTATAGATTCTTGTGCTCTGAGAGAATGGTGAATCAACTTTTTAGTTTTGTCATTGTTTTTTGTCTTTTTTTGTTTTGGGTGATTGATTGATTGATTGATTGATCACGTGGAGAAGGATTCTTGTGTGTCCTTTCCCTTCTTGCCTCTTGCGATGGTGATTGTATCCCATGGCCCGTCGTTTTTTTTGGCATCTTTTCGTTTTTTTCGCGACATATGTTGTGATTGTCAGTGACTATGGTTGCTCGCGATGGCGATTGTATCCCATGCCTATATACTGTGATTGGGAGTGAATATGGCGTGTGATACTGATCATATGTCCTTTTTTTTTTTTCTGAGTTGATCCAATTCGTTTATCCTGATAGGTATGCTGCCCGTACACTCCCGCGCCGGACACTGGCCAACTTTGCAGAATGCCCCGGCAGTTCCCAAGTTTTTGTAGGCGGAACTGCAAAAGGTCAAGCGTGGTGTGCGCCCCCTCACACAAAAAAAGGAGACTCTCTCTCTTTTTCTCTCTCTCTCACACACACACACACACACACGTGTGTAGTAGCGAATATTTCGACGTTCTCTCTCTCTCTCTCTCTCTATCTATCTCTATCTATCTATCTATCTATCTATCTATCTATCTATCTATCTATCTATCTATATATCATCGTGATCGTTATAACCCATACATGCTTAACCTTTATGATCAGCAATGCAATCCCCCAAACCCTCCTGGACAGCCTATGAAAATCCTGAATATTCTCCTTCTTAAACTATAGTGAAATCCTCATTGGATTGACGATCCGAGAAACGACGGCCGTTCTGACCGCCGCCCGAATTCGAACATTCCATATAAGAAAAAGCCTTGATGCAGGTCCTTTTGTCCTTTTTTTTTTTGGATCGTTGATTGATTGATTGATTGATTTATTGATTGATTAATTGAAGGGACAAACGACGGGCGAACAGACAAACGGCAGGTACTCCGCCCGTGGGCCCGGCACGGCAAGTCTCACGAGGGAACCGGGTGTCAAGAGGGACCGTCACGCGAGACCCACGTCCTCATTGGGTTGACGAACCGAGAAACGACGGCCGCTCCGCCCGCGGACCCGGCCGAATTCGAACATTCCATATAAAAAAAGCCTTGATGCAGGTCCTTTTGTCTTTTTTTTTTTTTGGATGATTGATTGATTGATTGATCGATTGATTGATTGATTAATCCATTCCTGATTGATCGGGTGGAGAAGGATTGTTGTCTGTCCATACCTTGTCGTTTTTCTTGCATTTTGTCCTTTTTTTGGCCATATTTTGTTTTTTTTCCCCCTTCTTTTATTTCTTTTTCCGGCATACAACGAATTGTCCATACCCGCCTGAATTCGAACATTCCATATAAGAAAAAGCGTTGATGCAGGTCCTTTTGTCTTTTTTTTTTTGGATCGTTGATTGATTGATTGATCGATTGATTGATTGATTTATTGATTGATTAATTGAAGGGACAAACGACGGGCAAACAAACAAACGGCAGGTACTCCGCCCGTGGGCCCGGCACGGCAAGTCTCACGAGGGAACTGGGTCTCACGAGGGACCGTCACGCGAAACCCACGTCCTCATTGGGTTGACGAACCGAGAAATGACGACCGCTCCGCCCGCGGACCTGGCCGAATTCGAACATTCCATATAAAAAAAGCCTTGATGCAGGTCCTTCTGTCTTTTTTTTTTTTGGATGATTGATTGATTGATTGATCGATCGATTGATTGATTAATCCATTCCTGATTGAT